TGAAATGGGGGGCACCGGGAAGCTCTCCAGTACTCTGAGCCCTCAGTTGCCACCAACCTGAAACCGCCCAAGACCCCAGCAATGCCACAAAAGGACAAGAGTAGATCACAGCTGTTTGTTAGGGTGGATCAGGCGCATTTGAAGTGGAAATAAAAGGCTGTGGCATTCTGCGTGGCAGTTAAAGCCAAGCTATTGTCTGCCACATAGGCAGGAGCAGGGATGCGGGCGGCGCTGGGAGGGGGAAGAGGAGAAATAACTTTTCAAACTTTTTTTCAAGCCCCTCCTTCCACAACCCTCTGCTCTTCCATGACTCAGCCCTAGAGGAATGTCGGCTCCCATGGAAACCCTTTCTGGGTCCTCTGGTCGGAGGGATGTCGGGGCTGTTATCGCTAGAGCGGCTGTGGCAGGGCGAGCCCAGGGAATGCTTTGAAGATGGTTTGCATTTTTGCAGAATATTTAGCGGACAGTTTCTTCTCTCTCTCCTTTGTGGAGCTGTGCGAGATCAGCTTTCTGTATCCCCCGGGAGCCAGAGGGACCGCTTGCACCTGACACAGAAGTATCCAGGCTGATTTTGGCACTTCCCCAATGTCCAGTCCAAACAAAAGTAACAAGCTCAGGCAGGACAGCAAAACACTGGATCGCCTGCCTCCCGCCTGAGGTCCGCAAAGGGCTCAGCTGCGCACTGCTGCTGGCAGCACAGGTCTCATCCATGCACTTTTCTTGGTAACAATTTAATTGTTTCCCATTACGGATGCAATTTCCAACCCAGACAAACTATGACAGCTTTGAGCCAGCATGCAGCTATAGTGGCATTTGGGCTTCTTGCCCTTACGTCAATAAACCCTCTAAGACCTGGAACATTTGTAAGTGCCATCGGAGCTGCTCAGCTCCCTGCAAGGGGAATGGGTTAATACAGTGTCGTGGTGTAGACGTGTCTTTAGTGACTCTGCAGGGACAGATGTGGTGGATGATAGATTTTTTCCCTGTGGGAAATGTAAGTGAGTGCATGAGCTAAAGGGAATTTCACTTGTATCTAAACCTAGCTTGGCTTTGTGAGGCTGCAACGCTGCGTGCCAGGGGGCTGTGCCCCTGGGACCCAGCACAGCTGCAGCACATCTGGGTGAGCCAGCACCCCCAGCAGCACGGCCCGGACATGCAGGGACCTGTTTGGCAGGGAGCTTTATGGGGACTCACGCAAACAACTCTGACTTCAAATCAAGTTTTAGCCCGGGAGCAGCTGGCTGGGTAAAGCTCAGGGCGTCTTGCTTGCACAGGGAGCTCAGGGCCAGGCAGCGGGGTCACAGCCCTCGCCTTGCGTCTCCGTGGTGGCCATGGCTGGTCACCCATCTGCACCTTGAAAACTATGGCCCACAGTGAGGTTTGTAGGCACAAGCTTTTTCTGGGCTGGTCCTGCCTTTACATTCAGCCTGGGGTGCTGGGGCACATGAGACCCTGCAGAGCCTTGGAAGAGCGATGAGCAAATGGTGGGTGGGTGCAGGGGACCCTGCTGCTTGGGCTGGCCACCTCCCGCGTGGCTGGGCTGGGGTGCAGGGGAGGAGCTGAGACATGGGAGGGGGTTTGCCCAAGCTTACCCACTCCAGCTCTCGATTACCCGCTCCTCTCGCCCCGGTTAGTGGTGGAGGCAGCTGGGGTTATCCCAGTGGCCTCAGGGAGGAGCTGTCAAAGTGGCCAGGCAGAGACTCCTCCCCGCGCTAACGTGGCATCCCAAAGGGCTTATGCAACCCTGGCTAGGGCCAGCGCCACATGGGCCACGCTCCACCATCCACAGAGCCTCCTCCAGAGGCTGCACCCACCTGGTTCTTGTCCTCCCCCAGCCTGCAAAGGCCCCAGGCTGGGCGGGAGGGGACAAGAGGGACTGAAGAGACCCCAGTGGCACAGGCTCTCCTCCGTGCATCACTGCAGGGTATTTTTCTCAGCAGGAGAAACTTATTATGTTGCTACGGGATTGGGGGAGGGAGGTAAAGAGCTTGCCAGAGTAGCCTGCTTTGAGTTTACGGAGGTGCTGAGGGTCAGCCTCGGACCCCTCTGCACCCCATGGCTTCCCCGTTAGGGAGATGGCTGCAAAATGCAGTGAGCAGCCGATGCTGAGGGACAGCCTGGGCCATGCTAGAAAGGTGAACCATCCTGATGAGTTTATGGGAGCCACAAGACTGTGTTTAGACAGTGACTGGGAGCTGAAGTCCCCACTTAAGATTCAAGTGGGGTCAAGCATTAGGACGGCAGTGCAGGCCATGAGTCCTGCAGCCCATGGGTGCCGGGCGCTCTCCTCCATCAGCAGCAGTCAGGAGGGCAGGCCTGAGGAGGGGGTGGTGACCATGGAGACTTCTCTTATTTTATATTCAGCAGCCCCCTCTGTGCCCACGATGTGCTGGTTTCCAGCCTGTCTCGCAAAACACTGGCTTCTGTTGGCTCCTTTGGGATACAGAAAGGTATAAGACCCTGCTCGCTAAAAATCTCATTCCCAGTCCTGTTTGCCTCTGTCCAAAATGACCCCCTGCTGTGCCACAGTGCTCTGCCCCTCACACTGCCCTCCGTGGGGCTCGTGCAGAGCAGGACCAGGCATTCCCAGTGCAGGGCCCCTCACAGGGATGCCCCCGAGCCCCTCTGGCTGGGGGATGGATGCTGAGCCCAGCTGCCAGCTCCAAAGAGCATCTGCTTGGACAGCAGGACCATGGTACGTCTGCAGGGAGACTTCCACCAGTGACTTGCACTGTGAGCCAGGCTCTTCTGCTGGAGCAGCTCCCTGTGCCGGGCTCCTAAGCCATTATTTCAGGACTTTTGGCCATCAGGCATTCAGGAAAGACCATGCTTTTGCAAAACAGCCAGGGGCTCACAGACACTGCAATGTCCTCCGTGCACAGGCTCTGCCTCCAGGAGGATGTTGTTTTTCAAATAAACTTGTTTTCCCATCTCCGGCGCGAGGCAGCTCTGCAGAGCTTGTTTGCTCAGACTCTTTCGTGCTCCTTCTTCCTCCAAACACAACACTGGCAGCTCTGACTGTCTGCTGGCTCCTAACAAGTAATTCCCTGACCCCAGCTCACTGCATACCCAGACTTTGAAATTCAGGGTTTTTTTGGGCTCGGGGAAATGATCTGAGAGGGCCTTGGTCTGGGGAAGGGTTCTTCTTAACGCCATCTTCCACGTGTACATGCACTGCCCTCTTCCTCCAGGCTGGGCACTGCCATGTTCCTGCCCAACAAGCACCACTGAACCTCAGAGCATCTTCCAAAGCAAACAAGTCCCTTGGGAGAAGCCCAGGAGGAGACTTTACAAGCCAGGGGATGGCAGCAAGGGAGGTCACCAGTACTTTTCCACCTCAACCCCCCCAAACCACCCCTCCAGAAGCAAAGAAACAGTGATCTCTCCTGGCAAATGCCAGGAGAGCAAATAAAGGCGAGGGGAAGGGACGGCACATACGGAGCAGGAGAGGAGGGAGCTGCTCAGGTGCAGCCTTGCCAGAGCAAACGGGCTCATCCACCCCCACCCGCAGCCCCTCTCCCCACAGGTCCTCCTTCCCACCACAGCAGCCATCCCCACCAGCCTGTGCTCCGAGCCCTCCAACATCCCCGGGAAGCTGCCCTCCATGACCCGACACTATTTTGCATGGGCACCCTGCCGGGGCTGGGTGAGGCGCTGAGGTCGGAAAGAGGATTTCAGGCTCTGCATGGCCAAACCTTGCTAAATTAGGAAGCACAGCCCAGCCTGGCTGGTGCCCTGGCAGCACAGTGTTGGCCTGGTTTTATTCCCGGAGAGCTGCCGTGCACAGGGAGAAAGGGAAAGGATGCAGTGGCAAATTAGATATCCATCCATGCTCGCTGGGAGAGAAGACAACACCTTGTCCAGCACTTTCTGTCTCAGCAAAGCCATCCATCCGCCCAGCCCCAGGGCACCGATGGGCTGCGGTGCCCTGGCCACGCAGGTGGAGCGGAGGAGGGCGAGCGGAAGGGAGGCAGCGGAAGCCTTGGCAGGGGGACAAGTCCCCTCGCTGGCAGGAGACAAACTGGGGGTGTTTCGCTCTCCCGGCAGGCGGAAGGGAGCGGGCAGCCCTCACTGTCAGGAGTGGGATGCCGCTGGCATATTAAGCAGCCAGCTGAGCTCCTCTCTGCCCTCACACAGAGGGGCTCAATCCTGCCAAACAGGAACTGGGGGGGAAAGGACAGGGGGGGACAGTTTCAACAGCTGCACTCTCCTTCTGGCTCGCATCATGGCCAGTGGAAGCTGGGCTGCCTGGCTCACTCGTCCTGTGGAGTCCCTGCAACAGCCCAGATCAGGAGGGTGCAAAGGGCTCATCCTCCTGGAGCTCATCTCCCAGCAGGACACAACCCCAAAGCGTCCCAGGTCCCAGATCCCTCAAACCCAGTTTGTGGACCCTCAGGTCTGAGCAGGAAAGGGAAAACCATAGCAGAGACCCCAATACTTGGGGTTGCCAGGGACAGGGTCTGGTCCCCAATACCCCTAGAGATGTCTGTGTCCATGTGGGAAGGGGTTTCCTACAGGATTTAATTCTCAAGTGCCCCATCTCATTATCTCTCTGTTCTCTCTTTCCTTCCTCTGCTTTCATTTTTTTCTCTGATTGACAAATAAAATAGTAGAGACTTTCATTGCTTGTACCTGGGTTTCATACCAGAGGCTTTCAACATGAAAAATGGGGGGTGGGGTGGGGTGGTGGTCCAAAATAACCCCTGTGAAGGAAAGAGGAACTGCCATTTTGACTGCAATTTTTCTAAAGGCATCCAGGAAAGCAACAGAAATCTAAACCCCCACCATCTCATTTTGCAAAATCAAAAGAATTTGTCTTGGAAATATGATTTGGCTTAAGGTTTTGGCTAGAAAAGCCAGCATGTGTGGCTGTAATATTGAACAGACAAGGCAGGAAATGAAGAAAACACCCTTTTCTAAGTGTCTGAACTGCCAGCCGTGAGCTCAGCCTCCGTCCTCATCCCTCCTTTTCCTCTCCTTTATTCAGGGTTTCCTGAAAGATGAGGGCTTGGATTTTTTTCCTTCTCTGCCTGGCAGGCAAAGCCCTGGCAGCTCCGGTAAGTATGGGAGACAACGGAGCCTCTCTGCTGTCGCGGTCGTCCGCCCGGTGAATCTGATGGGGATTTTCTTTTATAATAAATAAACCCCTGAGGAATGGGGGCAGAAGAGGGGAAGGAAACTTGAGGGTGGCCCTGTCATCTGCCCCAGTGGGTCACCCCCCTTGGGGCTGTCCTCCCCAGGGGCCCCAGCTCATGGTCCTTTTCCCTTGCAGCAGGAGGCTTTGCCTGATGAGACAGAGGTCATCGAAGACCCCACCACAGAGGTAGGTGACTCTGCTCCCCCTTGTCACCCATTGCTTGCACAACCCACTGCCCTGGAAAGAGCATCTCCAAAGCACGGAGGAGCAGGGGCAATGGGGGGCTGCTCAGCTCCCAGGAATGGGGCCCAGCTCTTTTTGCACCCCTACCAGACACACTGACCTCTTTTGCAGGAGCCCGTGGGGGCTAACCCTGTCCAGGTGGAGGTGGGAGAGTTCGAGGAACCCACAGAAGATGTAGAGGAGATTGTCGCAGAGAGTAAGTCACTCTTCTCCTTTGCCCCCAGGCAAAGACGTTGTCCCTTCCCTGGCTGGGGGAGCTGTAGCCACCCCAAAGAGCGAGGGACTTCTTTGGGAAGGGCTCAAGCACAAGGAAAATGCCAACCTAGATGCACACTTAAAAGCAAAAGAGGCACATGGACTCTTTCCAGCACCGGGTTCTCTGTAAGCCATTTTTTGCAACAGAAAAGCCATTGCATTGTGTGGCTACAGAAGGAGCCCAGAATAAGCCCAAGGGCTAATGTGGACTTCTGGAAACCCTCACACCTTCCCAGTGCAGGGAGAGATGCTCAGGGCTGTCTCTGGTGAAGTGTCTGTCTTCTCTCTGTGCTGAGACGCCCCGGGCAGCTCATGGGAGGTGAGGATGGGGCAGGCTCTGACTTTGCTCCCTGCCCTCTGCCAGACCCCTGCCAGAACCACCACTGCAAGCACGGCAAGGTGTGCGAGGTGGATGACAACAATTCGCCCATGTGTGTGTGCCAGGACCCCTCCAGCTGCCCAGCCACCGCCGGTGTCTTCGAGAAGGTGAGGGCAGAAGCTGCTTGATGGACCAGAGCAGGGCGGGACCTCACATGGGACATTGCCAGAGATGGTGGGGGAGACAGTCAGAGTCAAGGTGACAGGTCCCCATCTGACCTCAGCCAGTGGTGACCAAGGAAACAAGTTAAACACCTCATTTGGAGGCTCTCCCTGCTGACCCCCCTAGCAAGGCTGGGCTTTGCTGTCTCTCATGCAGCATCTCCCCATCCTGTGCAGGTCTGCGGCACCGACAACAAGACCTACGATTCCTCCTGCCATTTCTTTGCCACCAAGTGCACCTTGGAGGGAACCAAGAAGGGACACAAGCTGCATCTGGACTACATTGGACCTTGCAAATGTAAGTGGAGCCATTGCTTCAGACAAGGGGACCCCTAACCTGAGCACAGCCCCTTTGCCCATGGGCTGAGAGAGAGAAAAGGTCCAGGCAGATGTAGTGCCAAGGTGGGAGGGTGCTGGGGCTGCATGTCTGGGGTCTGGGGCTGCATGTCCAGGGGCTGTGCTGACCACTGTGTGTGGCTTCCAGTCATCCCTGCCTGCCTGGACACAGAACTGACCGAGTTCCCCCTGCGCATGCGGGACTGGCTCAAGAACGTGCTGATCACCTTGTACGAGCGCGATGAGGACAACAACCTGCTGACCGAGAAGCAGAAGCTCAAGGTGAGGGGCTGGGGAGGGAGCCTGGCAGCTCACCTCGCCAACGGAGCCCAGCACATATGGGGAGCCCATCCAGAACAACCTGTGGACACCCCATGTAAAGCCCCTCCCTGAGTCCCCACCTTGTACCCCATTCCCCTGCTGACAAGGTCTCCCCGGCCTCTCCTATGACAGGTGAAGAAGATTCACGAGAATGAGAAGCGCCTGGAGGCTGGTGACCACACTGTGGAGCTGCTGGCACGCGACTTTGAGAAGAACTACAACATGTACATCTTCCCTGTGCACTGGCAGTTTGGGCAGCTGGACCAGCATCCCATTGATGGGTGAGTGCTGGCAGAGCAGGATGGAGGCCCCACCAGGACCCCATCCTGCCCCAGAACCAGGGTGATTTGCTGGCAGAAGGTGTCAAGGCTGGAGATGTGACACAAGTGGGTGACTGGTTGGAAGAGGAACAGGCAAAGCCCTGTGGAGGAACAACCCCTGCACACATCTGCCAGTGGCTGGAGCAAACCAGGCTGGGGTAGAGGCAATTTTACTTTCTGCAAACAAGTCTTCTGTAGAAAGAGGGGCCTCCCCCAGCTGCAGCTGCGCCCATCTCCCTTGCCTGGAGTTTCTGCCTTCTCAGATTTACTGTCGTATGATAGTTCCCTAAAATATCTTAGTCCAACGGCCCCGGGATAACTTCAGCAGCTGAAATAGCAGCTGCTGGCTTAGCTGTGAGCTGGAGATGGGCACAAGGGCGATCACACACATGGACACGTGGGGTGGGGGCAGCCAGTGAGGACCCCCAGCTGCTGGCTATTTTGTGACTAGCACAGCCGGTTGCAAAAGCAGACACCAGTCCTTGACCTTCATGACACTCAGTGGCGGATACTGGGAGGGCACTGGGACAGCAGTCAAACCAGATGGAGAGATGGGGCCAGCATCTTGCCCCACGCCGGCCCCCATGCCTGGCAGAGCATCTCCCCTCCCGCCGGAGGGTGGCTGGCAGTGGCGGGCGGCGCGTTGACCCTGTGGTCACCTCGGCAGGTACCTGTCCCACACCGAGCTGGCCCCCCTCCGTGCTCCCCTCATCCCCATGGAGCACTGCACCACCCGCTTCTTTGAGGCTTGCGACCTGGACAACGACAAGTACATCGCCCTGGAGGAGTGGGCCAGCTGCTTCGGCATTAAGGAGCGTAAGTACTGAGTAGGGGAGGAATGGGGGTGGAAGGGACACCGAAAAGCACCCCCAAGTCCCCCCCTCGGGATGAAGCAATGCATTACAGCTGGTCCTGGGGAGGGAAAATCAGGGGAGAGCGGGAAGGGGGGATCACAGGAGCAGTGGGACCCTGGGACCGTCCAGCTCCGGGGCAGCATCCGCCTCCTAACCTCGTCTCTCTCTTTTCCTTCCACAGAGGACATAGACAAGGACCTTGTGATCTAAACCCCCAGCTTCCTTCTCTGCTGCCAACTTTGTCTTGTTTTAACCTTCCCACTTCCTTTGGTTTTTAAACCGCTTTTGTTTTGTTTTGTTTTTCCCTGGGAACAAGGTGCTAATATAGATCTAAACATATGTAGTAACGGTGCTAAGAGAAATAACAGTCCTCATTCATAGCCTAATCTATTACCACTAGATTACTTACTCGGCTGTTTCCACATGCTCTTACCAGCCCTTTCTCTCTCTGGCATGTCTTTGCCATTGACTGACCCTGTTCCTGTCCTAAATATCTGCTCCATCTTGGTATCTGCTCTCAGATCGACTTCTCTTTAACTTCTTACTAACAGCACATTTTTTGGACACATCAGCGTAGACGCAAAGCCCTCCCAGCTGATACACCGTCCCCATTTACAGGCCACCAGCAAGGGAAGGCAAAGCCAGAGGATGTCGGAGGATTGGGCTTTTCGAGCAGAGCAGCTGTGGGTGACATTGTGGGTCACCCAGCTCATGGTAGGGGGGATGGAGAGGGGTGAGAAAAACATAGAGTGGCGGGATTTCGGTTTCCTTTTTTTTTTTTTTCTTCTTTTTTTTTTCATTCCCAGGGCTTGAATTTAACAATCATTGGGCAGAAAAAAAAAAAAAAAGGGCTAATCAAACGAGCGACTAGGAAAGCGCACAAAATTTAAAACAAATAAAATGAAATGCATCCCATTCTGTAAAATCCCCTCGAAAAATAAAGGTTTGAAAGTGCTACGTGCTTTACGATTACTCAGTGACCGTACTGCTGTTGTGTTTTCTGTGCTGCAAAGGGAGATGGGGTACGGCCGCCTGTTCCCCCGGGGTGTGCGTGGCTGAACCTTGCTGTTGATATTCTGCTGTAGCTGAGATAAATAAAACTCTTGGCTCTCCCCAGATCACAGCGCCCTTGAGCACTTCCCACCTCTGCCTTGGTCCTGCTTAAATTCCAGCCCTGCTCTCCCAGGGAAGCTGTGTCAGGCTTGGAAAGGACATTTCTGCTCAGAAAGGGGCGTGCTTGCCACATGCTCAAGGGAAAGGCTGTAATATTTTTTTCCTGTTGTGGATTTTGGGGTTTAAGGGATGGGCGGGAGGGAAGGGAGAAAGTATTTGGATTTTGCTTTATAGAGAGGGTCCTGACAGGAGCAAAGGGATGGTTAAGTCTCACAGGCTGAGAACTCTTTTTTTACCTCTGAATGTTCCCTGTGCCTTATATTATTAAATTCCTGCCACAGTGTGAGCAAGCTGATGAGTCTCTGTAATAAAAAATATTGATTTGAAACACTGACAATAAACGAGCTTGCAATGTTTCTCTGTTTCGTCCCACCCCGACGAGGGGGATTGCACATGTGTTGCCAACCTCGTGGATGCCTTCAAGTTGTAAGACAGGCATCCCAGCCCCTGGGAAGACTCTGGGCCAAGGTAAGCTGAGGTGCTTCTGCCCATCACAGCCCATCACCTCACTGTAAACGGGGTCATTGGGGGATATCGGATGGGTAATGCACGGGAGATGGAGCCAGAGCCATGGAGGCAGACAGGGTCACTGCAGCAGCCAGCACCGACGCTCGCATGGCTCTAAGGCCCTTGCTTTCATGAGCAATAAAACCCCTGGGAAAGGTGGAAAGGCACAACTAGAAAAATAAACATCGCCATATGCAAGGGCTAAAAATATCCATGTTGCAAGGACTCTGCTTAAGCTGTGGCATCCCCCTGTTAACAGTCCCTTGCTGGATGTGCTCCAGACGCAGCTGCAGAATCGGGTCCTGCCGCAGGGTCGCTCCTGGCTGCAGAGCCCTGGGCAGGTCCCATCAGGGACGGTCACTTTGCAGGTGCTTTGCCAAGCTGTTTGAACCCAGTGGGAGAGCTGGTGCCCAGAGGGACCACGTGAAGGATTTTCACCCCTGCCTTGAACCCCAGGGCTCATTCCACCCAGCCACGCTGCTTCCTGGGGCCGGATTTCTCAATGGAGACACAGTGAATGCCTCCCCTTCTCAGGGGCTACGGCCGGGATTTGGCAGGCCTGGCACAGCAAGAGGCACCGCTGCCCATGACCCCTGCCTGCAAGATCCAGTCGGCTGCAGAACCACCTCCCAGCCAGGAGAGCTGGTGAGAGAGGATTTGGGCAGGGGGGAGGACGGGAAGACAGGTGGGCACTGGAGGAGATCATTTGCCCTATGCAAACCTGCTTTCCAGTCGCTCCCTCTCAGCCAGAAACTCCCGCTCGTGCTCCTCTGCCAAGATGCAGCCGCATTCATTCCAGCTCCAGCCCTCCCCGCCAGCGCCACTGGACAGACACGGGTGGCTTTTCTCCTGTGCAAGGGAAGGCTTTCCAGCCCTCCTCCCCTCTGCCTTCCCCTCTTGAGCAGGAACTAGTGTTAAATCACAGCAAGCTCAGAAAAATCATCAGCCTCCAGGAGGAGAGCCAGTTATCACGGCTCAGGAAGGCAAAGGGCTCCATCTCTAAGGCCACTTCCCATCCTAGGGGATGATACCCATGTCCCCACAGTCTGGCAGAGCCCAGAGGACCCAAGCTCGATGCTATCACAAGTGCAGCTGTCCTGGCTTTAACTGAGCATCACATCAAAGTGAGCTCCGGAGGTTGCAGCTGGGCCTCCCTTAACCCTTCAAAGGTCACAGCCTGAAGTATCAAGTTGCTGGAATTTCACTGCCTTGGGGCAAATGCCATACACGGGGTTACATCAGGACTTGAGGAATAAGCTGGCCTTTTTAAGCTTTCAGACCTAGACGGTCAGCAAGGGTGGAACAGAACAGCCCTTTCCCTGTTATAGCCGAAATCGAGCCTTCCAGTGCCTGCACAGCAGTAAAGAAACTCGCCTGTACTTTCCAAGTGGAAATTCTCCCTGTGGTTAGTGCTGACTGAGGACACAGTTTGCAAACTTGAAAAAAAAAAAGAAAATTGAAAAATAACGGAGAGATCTGGATCCAAAACCAGCCTGACACAAGCACAATCTGGCCCGAGCACTGCAGCTCATCTGCAGGCAGAGGTGGTTCATTTTGCTGCGGTTACTCAGGGCAGCACCACAGAGCAGCTCACAGCACTGTCCTGCATTCAGCAGGGAAAAGATGGGAAAGACAAAGGTTTGTGCTTTCCCGTCTGTTTTCCTCAGCCTTACTTTCACAAAAAAAAAAAAAAACCAGCACCCAAGCTGTGGCATAAATGCTGCATTAAGGTTTGTGGCTTAGATATTCAAAATTCAGGTGATGCAAAAAGGTCACAAGCCAGGATGACTGCGACTACTCCAGTCACAAGCCTGGGGACAGCCTGGACTCCAAGGCTCAGCATTTCAAGGTGTAGCTGCACCCAGAGATGCTTCTGCTGTAGCTAACGGTGCCACTGGAAACCCACGGAGTTAAACCCATTCTGCAACATGTGTGAAGGGTGGTATTTCACACCAGCTCGAGCTCTGCAAAGGAAGATCCAGCCATATAAGCGAGGGTTTTGACCCACATTCAGCTGGTCCCTGGTGGTGGGGTTGGTGGTGTTACTGCTCCCAGCGGCTGGGTACTTCTCAGGGCAGTTCCAGCACACCCAGACTTGCTGCTGGTGGGGGATCTCACCATGACCCGCTGGGCCTGGCACAGGGTGGGTTGCAGGGTGCTTGGCGGGGATGGTGCCAGGACCACCTCTGCCCCTCCACAGCTCCACCGCAGAGCCTTCCTTCGGCTTCAGCCAGACTATTTATTTTCGAGACGGGCAAACTCAGTAAAACCAAGCCCTGCCTCCGTCGAAGAGACAGCGCCGGGGGAAAACACGCCAGGGGACGAAGGTCCCTGGGGCCGGCCTGGAGGGCGAGCAGGGGGGCGCAGACCCCCCCCCAGC